GATTCTGTCGTTCTGGAGATCTTCAGTGTTGGGATCGAAAGGCTCGCAAGAGACTCCCATAAGAACTTGTTCCTTGGGGTCAAGAACTCCTGTATCAGAAATGTGAGTTGATCAAAAAAACAAAATTTGAATACCGCATGGTGGATCGCATCCAAGGCGTTTCATGTTGGTGGTCTTGATGGCCCATCCGATACGACGGCTCGATGTGTTGGTGATCTAAAGAGTTCGAATGTACAGCGTTGTTTAGAAAACTATGATCACCTTAACATGGTAAGTGTTCTTGTCCTCGTAAGGAGCATTGAAGACGATTTTGCTGGCTGGCTGGGTGAAGATATCTCCTGGNCCTCGTAAGGAGCATTGAAGACGATTTTGCTGGCTGGCTGGGTGAAGATATCTCCTGGAGCAACTTGAGCCATCTTGATTGACCTTGTCGATTTAATCGAATGAGCTTTTATTCACGGCCTTTCATTTATATACTTCGGTTCACGTGGTTCACGTGAAATACTCGTCGGTGATTGGCTGATGTGTTCAGCTTCTTGCTAACTCGCCACGTAACCCACGTTTTATAAACAAGTCTAATTTGAAGCGATACGTGTGTACCAGGAAAACCTTCGTAAACATACTGAATTCAAAGTTTTCGAACGAAGAATTATAATAGCTATAAAGCATTATACAGTGTTTTGGGCAGAACCGTTTGCTCATTGTTATGAGATGAATATCATTCTAGGTATTTGCTATATTGAAGCTTAAGCGGTTTCTTCTTTACCGGTTCAGATCGGTTAATCGCTTTCACAGAAGAAAATACAAGTTTTGTGAGTCTCGACATGAGATACTGAAGAATAGGCGGAATCGATAAAGAATTTAATTGTATCGAAAAAGCTCATATAAGACAGCAGATCTACCACAGTTTATTTTTAACCAATGGTGTAGGGGCGGGGCTGTCTTGTGGCCATTGATGTTCGTCACCCCAATTGAACTTTCTGAAAAAAACGTTTCAATACAATTTTTGAAACATTTTTTGCTAATATACAGGATAAATAAAAATGATATCTACGATTGTACGTGAGAGACTCCAATGAAGGTCAAATGGGCTCACTTTGTTGAGTGGAATTGCCTGACAGAGCAGAAATTCTCGAGACAGCTGATTTTCTACTTAGCACACTGCTTTCCTACAATCGGTTGTTCAAACTACCCGGCTGAAGGAAACACAGTCCTGGTTGTAGATATTTTGAAAGTGTGATAAACTTCTCTCCGGCTAACAACCTCTGCAGAAGTCGTCTTACTAATCTTCAATTACTTTTTTACAGTAGGGGGAGTGAAAAACAAGTGATGAAATATAAATAATTTATTGCTTCACTTGAAAGCTTAAAGGTTGTACTCGATTGGCAAGTTCTTTCTTCTGACCATTCCATCTCCTTGGAACCATTCACGACGGAATTGCTTAGCTGCTCCATCTGGGGCATTGGTCCATTCAATAGTGATTCTGTCGTTCTGGAGATCTTCAGTGTTGGGATCGAAAGGCTCGCAAGAGACTCCC